TTGCGCTAGGATGCAGACACACCACCCAAACCTTGTTAAAAAAAAAAAAACCCAGCTGTGTGCTGGGGACTGCATGCACGGTGAGGAGGTCTCAAACACACCCCTGCACTCGTCCCATGTGCTCCCCCTGGTTCCCAGGCACGGCCTAGTTCCCCTCACCCCTGGTACCACTGACTACCACTGGCAGGCAGCTGGCCCTGTTTTGTTTCATGACCAGGAATTCTAAACTGAATTAGGCAAGCAATGACCATCGACTTTCTGTGCTTATCCACACATTCACTAAACCACAGCCCAGCTCAGTCAGCTGGAGCGCTGGTCTCTGCACTCCACGAATGAGGCTTTCCAAACTGGGAAGCATTAAGTATTCTAATTCTGCTGAACACAGGAGTCCTGGTGACACAGTGGGCTGAGCGTCGGGCTGCTAACTAAAAGGACAGTGGTTGGAACCCATCAGCTGCCTCGGGAGAACCATGGGGCCGTGCGCTTCTGTAAGATGGAGTCTAGGAAACCCTGTGCAGGAGAGTTCTGTCTGTCCTATTGCTGTGAGTCAGAACCGGCTGGGTGGCAGTGGGTGGGTTCAAGCAGCTGGCAGTTTAGAAATGTGAATTTGCTGACTTAATCCTTCCAGTTGCTGTCATCGTCATTCGTTAAGAACTCAGGTGGGAGGCCTGGGGGTATCTGCTGTGTGGTTCTTAAGTGCCATTCGAAACTTGGATCTAAAATAAGTTCCTTCTTACACTGAGATAGGCAACTTAGACGTCGGCTATCAAAATTGGGGGGCAATAAAGGCAAGAAGTGGCTGGCTCACATGCTTTCATGAGGGTGTTTAGTGTCAAAACTAAGTAGGTAACATAGAATCCCCTCTGAACAGTTTTCCTCTTGTCCAGATGGGTCTGGTGATGATGGGGATAGAGTTTTATGATTCAATTGTGAGCAACTGTTATCAGGACTAATGGTGATTGTCACAGCTGTAAACATAGAAGAGGCATAACTAAAAGGCAGAGCAGTTCATCTGTCCTTTCAGTCACAGAGAACCCAGGGGCCATCAAGATAGAAGAGCAAGAGAGGAATGAGGGATCCTAATTCAAAAAGCGGCGACAACAGAGATGGTGGCAGAGGCAATGGCACAGAGACAGAGCAGCAGAGGGCTCTAGGCTCATGGACTGAGAAAGGCAGTGTGCCGGAAGGCAGAAGGCTGGTTTGAAAAATGTGCCCTTTGGACATTTCAATCAATATATTTTCAGTGGTATTTGTACATGAAAAAATAAATAACGGAGGTAAATACTGTTAGCTGAAGGTGCATCGAGATTGTAATTATTGTTTTGATTAGAAAACTAATGATCTGCCCTGTGAATCTTCCAACTCACAAGAAAAGCTATAAAAATAAAATCAACAGTTCCTTTTTCCTTCATTACTTTGTCTTTGGGATGTTAAGTGACTTCATACTGTGCCCGTCTGTCATGGGCTGTGACATCATGTGGGGACACCCAGCATTTCCCACACATTTCTGATCTACTTCCCAGACACTGAAGTTTGCCGCTGTTGTTGAGGAAGTCACAGGTCTGAAATCAACTCATTTCTTCTTAGGCATATCTACAGTGAGAGTCCTCACTGGTTTCGGTCATCAAAGTGGTTCATAAGAAAGAGTCAGGAGAAAAGCTTCAAATCTTACTGAACGACATTCACAGAAGGCTTATGGGCAGGAAGTCCGAGAGAGTCCCGGGCAGGAATGAGGGACTGGAAAGGCAGGCAGGTGCAGCACACAGGCAGCCTAGGATATCCTTCACAGTGGCCTGGCTGCCTGTGAACAGCCACATGGGCTGGAAGGGGCGAGGAATACAGAGCCCTCAAAAAGCATCAAACACACCCATGCAGAAAACGTCACCGACGTCATCTCTTCCAAAAGAGGAGTTAGGTTAGACTCATGTTGCCTGAGATCACACTACAGCCACAGAGACAGGCAATGGGAGGAAACAAGACGATTCACTTTCCTTAATGAAGACACATGCTCCCAGACACAGATAGTGTAATGAAAGTGCCCATGGTTATGTACCCAAGTACACACTTACTGACTAGCTCGTTAGCTAACACTCTATGTTTATAACTTTTTTTTTTTAATCTACTGACTATTTTGCGCATTAACAACCTACGTCTGCTGTTCGCCAATGCTGAGGTGTGATGGTCAAGGTTGGGCGGGCCGTGATTCTTGGTGGTTTGACAGCTACGGACTGATGTCATCATCATCTATTTGGTGGTCTGACGTGACCATCCTCCATTTCCACATAGCGACCACCTGGTCTTTGGACCCTAACTATGTTACTAAGTGAGGAATAAAACCAATCCTGTTCTGTGCATTGAAAACATTTGAACATGTACATATTAGAAAGACGAGGAACTGCGAATGTTCTAAATTCCTCGATCTGAAGTGAGAGGTCGTAGACTTGCTTCTTCTTCTCAAAGGCCACCACCGTTGTTCCACGTTCACGCGGGAAACTGATGAGGGTGCACACGCTTGCTATAGTAGCATCAGAGGTAAGGAGGGAGCAGAAAACGTTCTCCAGGAGCCACGGTCACTCAGTGGAAGACATTACAGTACATCTTCCAGGTGTCAGTGCATCTTTCAATGAACTCAGAAATAAATCATGTCTTCTTAAGGAGTGGGTGGCCTTCCTGAGCTCTGGTACAGACCACGGGGACAGAAAGTCAGCACTGTGGCCCCAGCTCCCTTGCCTTCCACACCATGGCGCCACTCTAGAGAGCTAAGTGGCTCATCCTCCTGGACCCACTGTGGTCTGACTTCAGTTTCAATTCTGCTGACATCTTCTGGCCAACTGAAAGACCAGAAGGGGAGATGGGATAAGCTCTGGGTAAATGAAGTTGCATGTTCCAAAAGAGAAACGTTATTTTTAAGTCGGCCAAGCACTTCCTGCAGTTCCGCTTCTTTGAAACTCTGCTCCTCTCACCCTGTGACCCCACTAAACCTGAGAGCAGAGTCCAGCAAGGTCTGGGGACAGACACCAAGCCACACAAAATAAATGCACCATTTTGGGTTTTTGTCAATGTGGTGGGTTAAGAACACAATTTCTGTATACATTCTCACAATAACACAAAGAACAAGAAAAAAGTCTTAAATGTAAACAATTAAGTGGCTCAGAAGTACAGCAGAGCTTCAGTAAGAATAGCAATGCTCAAAATGCACAACTGTATACGCACGGTTGTTCCTGACACCATACGGTGCCTGAGAGCCAGGGGCCAGGCTCCGCGGGTCCGGGCCCTGCTGCCTTTTGCAGCTCGTGTGGCTCCCGTTGTGCTTTGAGGAAAAGCCCAGGAATGACGTGGGCGGCATTTCCTGCTGCTCATTTATGAGTCTGAGAACAGCTCATCAAAGACAACACATAACTCATTACTATGACTTTAATTTGACTTCTAAGCACCTCCGTTTTCAAGGCACCATTGCATTTCACAGTGAAAAACACACCGAAACCCTAGCCTCTCCAACAACTTCACACACTGCAGAGCAGAGTTTGATCCCAACACTGTAGTCAATGAACACCTAGCCAAACCTGGTGCCTTGCACTATGAGGTAATGGCTGGCTGTGTGCTGTGGAGTCGGTTCTGACCCATAACGACCCTGTACAGGGTTTCCAAGGCTGTAAATCTTTACGGGAGCAGAAGCCTCATCTTTCTCCCATGAAACAGCTGGTAGTTTCAAACCGCTGACCTTGAGGTTCACAGCCCGATTCGTAACCATGATGGGAAAAACCAAAGTAACAGTCTACACGTTCTGTGCATCCTCTGAGTGGTGTTGATGGAGAATTTCATTTCTAAGTAAAAGCAAAACTCAAAATTTCAAATATAGCTCCTCTTTCCCTGTCCCAAACAACAGACTAGATCCTTTATACACAGTATTAAATTGGGTCATAGAAAGACTTTAATTTCTATAAAACGAACTTGGAACTTCAGGGAAACAGCACCTTCCAGCATGGAGCCAGTTTGGATGCTGCGGGTGCAGACCTGCAGGCAGGGGGCTGGGCCCACCTCGGCAGCCTCTGGCCTCGGCACTGCACCAGCCTTCCCGAGGCGAGTCAACCACCTAAACCACAGAGCCCCGTCTGCTTCTTTGTTCAGTCCGGGGAGCCCCGGGGTCTGCTGTGGAAACAGAGGAGAGCAGGCACCAGGCTCCTCACGGCTGACCTTAGTTAGTGACACACTGAAATCTCTTGCCTTGGTTTCCTCTGAAGAAACACACCAGACAGCTAGCAAAGCCCTTCCAACTGAAAAATCGTGGATCTGTGGATGTTCAGAGGAATAGTCCCTGACTACAATCCCCAAACCCCATGGGGAAAGGGGCGTCAGACTCCAGTCATGTCCATGGAGAGCAAGATGTTCCACTTTTCACCACCACTCCCTGCTGTGGCTCCTTCTCCAGTCTTCGGAAACGTCGCCAAGTTGCCCATTTTTGGACCCAGTTCTTCATCTACTATGAGATGTTCTGCTTAGCGTGGTCTTCATTAGGACTAAAGCAGTCACACCATTGCTCTTCCCTCCACAAGAGACAGAAGGCAAGCCAACCATCAGCATAGGCCAGTGCAGAGCCCCACCACTGAAGCCGACTCACAGGAAGATCCACCCACTTCACCACTTAAAAAAAAAAAGCCCACTTAGAATCTGAGGCAGTCTGATTTGCACAGAGCACATGTTCCTGTTCCTGCCCCACGTCAGTCTCCTTTTTTGTGGGAAGACAGTGCCTGCCCTGCCCACAGGTGTACCAACAGTCCCCACAGCATCTGCTGCATCAGAGGAGAGAAGAGATGTGCAATTCTTGGGGGAAAAGGTGGTCTCTCCAGAATATCCCAGTCCAGCATGGCTCACAGAGCTGAAGGGGTTCCCAGAAACCCTTCCCAGACAGGGCGCACCAAGAGACCCTGCAGCCACCGCCCAGGACGAGGATTGCCTAGGTGCCTTCGCAGGTCCGTGAGGCTGTCCAGGGAGCATGATCCTCACAGGTTTTTCTCCTCGCACACCCTGATGGGGACGTTGTAATGACGATCATCCTCGGCGATCAGCGTCACCACAGGCCAGTCCTCCGGGGCGTCAGGGGGGTATACCGTGATGAACTCCTCAGTGTTGTACTTGGAGAGTCGGTACACCTGGATGGTGTGGCGTACAGCATAGGCAAGAAGAAACATCTCAACCTGGAGGGAGAAAGAACAGGCAGGTTTTTGGAGGGGACCCACATACAGCAAGCCCGAGACTCCGTGAGGGTCAGAGCAAAGCTGAATTCTCAAAGGTGCAGCACCAGGCCTTTATTCTGAGGCCCACCTTTCAAGTGAGTAGCCAAGTGCATAAAGCTCTGCAACACCCAGGGACCACCTTGTCTGAGGGCAGACTCACTGAAAACAGGAGCTCCGTCCCAGGGATCCCGGCAGACAGTAGCTGATAACCTACCAGAGCTCAGCTATCCAGAGTGTTACTATTGATGTTGTACCATCGAGTCGGTTCCAAGTCCTAGCAATCCTGAATAGAGTGTCCGAGACTGTAACCCTTCACAGGAGCAGAAAGCCTCCTCTTTCTCCTGCCGAGCAGCTGGTGGGCTCAAAGTGTCAACCTTGAGGTTCATAGTCCAGTGCTTAGTCTATAGAACCACCATGCTCCATTATGCAGATGTTGTTGTTCTGTGCTGCTGAGTTAGTTCCGACCCACAGCGACCCTGTACAGGGTTTCTGAGGAGTGGTTCTAAGTGTATTATACTGCAGCACCACCCCAGGACTCCAGTTACCCACATAAACACAGTAACTAATAACCCATCACCCCAGTTATCCAGATGTTGTTGCTGGTAAGTACCATCAAGTCGGTTCTGATTCACAGAGACCCTGTACAGGGTTTCTGAGGACCGAGGAACAGTCAGTGGGTTTGAACCACTGGCTCTGTGGTTTGCAGCCGTATCTTACAGCACCACACCAGGAATCCACTGTTATTCAGATACAGCATAATAATCAATAACACACAAAGTTTTTTCCTTCCCTTTGTGCCTACCTGAGTCCTTTGCAATACGGTCACTATAAAAAAGGCAGGTTAAGGGATTATACAAGGGGATTTTAAAAAGTTCACAGAAAATGGAATGAAAAGATAATGAAATTTTTCCATGAACTTTGGAAGCCCCCTCTTATCTCTGATATGAAACCTACATGCAGACTATAAACAGAACTCTTACAACTCAACAACACACAAATTACAAATGAGTAGAGATTTGAACAGTTATCTTCCCAAAGATAAGAAATGCCAGGAAGCTCGTGAACAGATGCTCAACATGATCAGTTGTTGTGGGGGCCATCAAGTCACTTCCAACTTGAGTCCCCCACAGGGCTTCCAAGGCTGCAGTCTGGATGGGAGCAGATTGCTACAGCTTTGTCCCAAGAGAGTGGCCCCACCAGGCTGCTTCGTGTGAACTTAGAGAAATGCAAGACAAAGCCAAAGGAAGACCCCACTTCAGAACTCCCAGAATGGCCTCCCTGAATGCCTCACCCTGAGGCACAGCTTACCTGTTCAAGGCCCCCCGTGTGTCCCACCTGATTGAGGTGGTTCTTCAGCAGCTGATGGGGGTCACTGGATGTGTCCCGAGCAAACAGGAGCACAGAGAAGAGGGGCACGTCCTTCCCCCGCTCCCTGTCGTCATACAGCTGAATGGCTCGGTTCAGCATTAGAAACTTGATGGCCTCATAGAGGCTGTACTCCTCCTCGGCGCCGGTGAACAGCTCATCACAGGCCGTCTGTCTCGCTTCCGCAGTCCTGGTGTCCGCCAGGCCTGCCCACTACAGGGAGAGAGCTGCATCAGCGCCAGGGCCACCAGTCAGATAACGAGACTATGCCCCCACGCTCCCCAGTCAGAGCAGCACGCTGGGCACTGAGGTGCGCACAAGGCCCCTGCATGGAGCAGCAGAAAGCAGTCAAACGACCCCTCTCTTCAGGAGCTCCCAAGACAAGTTACCACCAGAAACACAAAGGCAGGCGTCAACGTGGGATGCTGGGCAAGGAAGGAGAGGGTTACTGAACGCAGCCTTCCAACCTCTTAAACCCAGACATAAGCTTCAAATGAAGAAATACAATTGGGAAATTCTCACGGACTCCTGATAACAATCAAGCAGAGTGGGAATTCACAGACAGAGTCTTCACGTGAGCCAGGAAACCCTACAAGGGTATGTGCTTCCGGGTCAACGTGAATGGCAGCATGAGGTACCAGCGTACACAGTAGTCATTAGGAATAGGCCACAACCACTTCCAGATAAAACTTCCAGAGTAGGCATCAGTGGCAGTGCTGGTACTGCACGACTCTCCCCAACATGCAGCCTGCGTGTGGCATGGCTCTGGAAGGAGACCAAGCTATAGTCAGGAGCCCAGCTCAGGAGCTGTGCAGCCTGGGTGGGGTCCAGGTGTCATCAGGGAGGAGCGCTGAGCCAGACTGCATCTTACATCTGTAGACTGGAACAACCACAGCCACTGCACAAGACACCACTCAGAAGAGTTCTAGTGCAGAGCCTGGCGCGAAGAAGGTGCTGTGTGCACGCTGGCTGCTCCGGAGAAGGATGAAGGAATCATTGTACTGCTACAGCGATTTGGCATTACTCAGACACTCCCCAAACGAGGCTCTAATGACAGCTGCACATCTAATACAGCAAAATGAGCCCGTTCACAAAAAGCTTCGGAGAGAGGAAAAGGAAACCGTGGCTGGCTCCCCCACATAGAGAAGTCAGGGCCTCCCGCCTGAACCCCTTCCCTCCTCTCTCCCGCTGCCTCAGGGTGGCAGAAAGGTGTGCCTACTCGACTTCCTTTGACAATGTACTTTCCCATAAGCACATCTTCTCTTGCTTGGCCCAGCAAGCCAGGGCCTTTGGTCTTCCCTGAATCCCATCACGCGCCCGGCACTGGCTGTGAAAGACCACACAAAGCCCTAATCTATCTCTCCTCCTGACCGCTTGCTCCCATGGCCCCTTTACAAAGCCTGGACCTCACCCTAGGCCCTCACCACAGGCTCCAGGTGCTCAATGTACAGCAGGCCCAGATCAGAAGGGGCAACCTTCTGAAACCCACCCCAACAGGAACTGGCAGACCAAATTCTCCCTCCCCTGTCTCACATAAATGCCCCAGACACTTCTGAATGACAAGACACTCCAGTTTCTCACTGGAAAGTCAAAGGGAATACGACTGGAAGAAGGCAGTAAAGGTGGATCAGCAGCATTTGATGGTGCTGTAAGAAATAGGGACTGAATGACATACTGTGGCCTTCAGGAATAACTTACAACCAACACCATTTGGGAAGGCTTCCTTCTTAGAAAGGCCAAGGTTTTACTATCTCCGAGACGAGCACACTCGCCTCCCCGAGAATGCATGGCCCTGCCATGCCTCCCGTGTCACCAGAGACCTCCCAGGAAGAGGCTGTGTCCCTCAACCTGATTTGCCTAAAATCCACCAAGAGCAGAGCTGATGTCCTGGGCCCAGGAGTGGGAGCTTCCACTGATGAGAGACGGACAGGGGCAGGTGGCAAACCTTCTTCCTGAGCAGAACGAGGGAGTCCTTAATCCTGTCCACCAGGTCCTCACTCCTGCCATCAAGCTGCAGGCCCAGTTTCCACTGCTTGATCCAGCTGTGTCTGCTGAATAGTTTTTCTGGTAACTAGTGCATCAAGAAACAGAGAGAGAAGGGTTAACATTCCAAGAAGCCCACCAGAGGATCCAGATCAGAAGCCCTGGGAAGCTAGCATGATCCCCCTCCATCTCCAGAAGTAGCTCCTGCAAGTCTGCCATCTGGGTTTGGGAGGGAGGCTCTCAAGACGCTGAGGGGGACCACTGGTGTGAACTGATGGTTCTGATTGAGACACAAAGGTATTGGCGACCCCATGGGACCCCAACAAGTCAGACACCTCCCACCGTACATGAGTGGGACAGTGAAGGCTGTGTGCAGGCGCTGTCTTTACATCCCCGGTAGCTTCCCACCACAACTAACACAAAACACGATGGCCCTAACCTTCTCCTGATGGGGAAAATACAACCTAACTTCTGATTTTTAAAACTAAGTAGAAAAGCACCTCTTGGCAAGTAACCTTAACATGTGTACTTTGAATGAACACTTTACTATGAATGAACCAGTGCTGTCATACTGGTTTCGATGCACAGCGACCCAGGCACAACAGAAGGGAACACTGACCAGTCCCACACCACTCTCCCAATTGCTATGCCTGAGCCCACAGTTGCTTCCATGGTGCCGATCCATCTCTGAGGGTCTTTATATTTCACCAAACATAATAGTCTTGTCCAGGGACTGGTCCTTTCTGAAATCCTCAAAGTATAGGCGACAATGTCCCACCATCTTCACTTCTTCACAAGCATTTTTGTTTCCAATTTTAAAGAAGTTTATTGCCGTTTAAATCAGCATGATGTCTGGTTCACTTCATCTCCTTTGCTGTCAAACCTGGGGGTGGGGGGACTGCTTCAGCTTTGCTTCTCTGCCTTTTCCTCGTCAGTGACGGCTAAAGTGTAGCAGTTATCTGCTGCAACCAATTGTTTTTTTTTTTACACTTCACTGAACGCTTTTTATTGGCCTTTTGGATAGAAACGGGAATTTATTCGCCAGGAAGGATGATCCCATTGTACTTCTGCTGGAATCAGCGTGTGGCCTCCTCTGCTGAGTCTGTGTGTTTGGCCCCAACGCCGCCTGTCCTGTGCTTCTTGTCTGCGATGCTGAAACCTGGTCTACCCACACCACAAAGAAGTCCAGGCCGTAGATACCAACCAGATCAATGTGCTCCTGGATCCCAAAACCAAAGTTTCCAGTATCTGAAAAGTGATTCTTTGATTAACTGGTACTCCCGCACCTTCAGACCTCTCTCCAGGACCTCCTCGGCCTTGGCTCCATGAACTGTGCAGTGGATGGCAATCTTCTCATTTCTCCTAGTGCCAAAGGACTGACGTCGTCAAGGACTTCATGCTTCTTGGATCAACTATCAACACTCACGGGAGCAGCAGTCAAAAAATCAAACGACATATTGCATTAGGCAAATCTGCTGCACAAGACCTTTTTAAAGTATTGAAGAGCAAAGATGTCAGCTTGAGGACTAAGGTGCGCGCCTGACCCAAATCATGGTATTTTCAATAACCTCATATGCAT